TGATTCTTACACTTAAAAATGTACAGTTTCGATTCTCTTCCAGATGTTCTGTATCTCTGTCCTGCCACCAGCTTGGTAGTTCTCTTCACACATCCAGTTTCCTCAGTGGGCAGACTGCAGTGAAGCTGACACAATGGCGCCCTCCAGTGTTCGCTTAGAAAATAGACAAGGAAAAAGAACAGACCAAACTAATGCCTTGTTTCTGTTTCCACCTCCAGTGGTGTCACTGTGTGTGGTTAGGTCTATCGCACAATCCCTCACTGCCTCCTTATCCCCAGGAGTTAGTACAAAAGGGTTCATCTGGATCTGATCAGTCAGATCCATTAGCAAGGTGGCAAACATTGTGGGTAGAAACATTGTTGGGCCTTTGAATTTGATAGTGATCAGTTCATTCTCTCTTTTGATTTTGACTTCTACATTTAAGCCTGTGAGTCTTTTTCCAGGCTCCGCTCCACAGTATGCTACTGTCCATCATCTGTTCCGCAGCATTTATCCACCTGTAGCACATCTAAGTCAGTTGTTTTGTGTTTTACATTGTGCACATTTCCGTTTCAGTAGACTTTCAAAGTCTCTGACAGGACCATGTATGATAGATCTCTCCCCTTCTAGCCCTCCCCCACCAACCAGTTAGGCAGTAATAAAATAAAAAACAAACTATTGAACAAGCTAAAGCTAGAGCACAAGCAAAGACAGCACCGTCGACTAACGTCGTCCATAGTGGATGTAGGTTACCATGTGCTCCTGTGGGCTAACAGCACATCTGTTCCTTTAACATACTGTATTAACCACCCATGATGCTTGGACTTCTTAGCAGAGAACCAGAGGGGAGCATTGCTGAACTGTAGGGCTGAACATCCTCACCCCAAAGAAACGAGTGGAATCAGAAATACAAGTTATCAACCACGTTGTTTTACCCTGTTTAGGAGATCTGAGCCCCTTTTTCATCTTGGAGCTCTGCACTGCAAGGCCATGAAGGCCCACTGGTTACCCTCAGTGTGCTTCGAGTTTAATTTACAACTGATGAGCTCACAGAAAAAACGCACGCTTAGTGGACTAACCCTTGAATGTGAGGATTAGCAGAGCTGAACTGAGGTCAGAAATTGTGTAGAATGGCGCTGACACAGTGAAGCCAGGAGTTTTGGAGTTATGGGTAATCACCACAATATGGGTGTGAGTCTTGCATACAAAGCTAGTGTACTGACTGAGAGAGGAGAAGCAAAAGCAGCAGGAAGGAGCTCATTCTGGAGTCTAGGTTTTTACCATGGGGATCAGCCCGCCTGTCTGCTTCTGTGTCTTTGCTGCCTAATTAAGGCCCACCTATGCTAATGCGAAGCATTTCTGATATCACACACAAACACATACACACAGACGCTCCCACAGACACACATCAAACAGAATATGCATGTGCTAGAAACAGGGTTGTGGACAGGAGAAGGAAGGTGCATGTAAAAGAGCAGAGGCTGCCTCTCTCTGCTTTGTTTCTCTCCCTCACCGAATTACAAAAATAATTCTGTACACACAAGCTACATCAACAGATGTGGCACCACATGTACCCTAAAAAAGCTATAATCTCCACATGGATGGAAAGAAAAAGTAGCTACTCTAGGATGATGGGCTTGCTGTCGCTGTGCTGCCTCACCTGGTCAGAGAAACGCCTATGAAAACAACATGAAGGAGAGGATGAACGGAAGTTGTTGCTTTGATCATAACAACTACTGAGATTTGTGACTCCTTTTATAATAAATGAGTGACGAGAAATGAAGAGGGTTTGTTGATTTACTTCAGGATTTTCTGTGATTTTCCTTTTCTGTGAGCAAAACCCAATATCCAAAACGGACCCACATGATTTAAGTAGATTTGGGAAACGTGCATTGACGGATACAGTGTCCATTCCCTCGGCATTTTCTTTAAAAATAATTCATGCATAGATCCCCAATGAGAAAACCCATTTATATACTTTCTTCTTTGTACACATTTATATATAACTATATAATATCATTTTTCTATATCTATATTTTCAGCAAAAAATCTTTCCACAAAAAACAAACAACAATAACAATTTAACAAATGCTTGAAAAGAGAAACAGAAGATGAAAGAAAGACAGAAACACAATCGAGGGCCAGTTTGGCACTTTGTCATGAGAACACAGCGTTGGTTAGTTGACAGTAAACAGGAATACTCTAGAATTTTCTTTAGTTCTTTTCTGCTTTGATGAGAAAGCAAACACACTAGTACATACTTGGCACCAAGAATGCTGGTAGAATGAAAGTATCAGATATCAATGTATTCATAGCTATATGCTTACTGTATGTACTCTATGCCCTCTCATACAGCTCAGTAGTTTATGAACTCTTAGAGCACAGGAGTGTCGGGGAGAGGGAGAAAACTGCATGTTGATTGAGAGGAACAAAGCAGGGGTAAGACACAAATGTAGAAAAGAGAACGACATATGCACATAACACACTAAGGAGAGAACAAAGAGCTGACACCAAAGTAAAAAAGGAAAAACAAGCAAGGGGTGAAAAGCATTCAACCCTTCGACACTGTCGGGGGGTTTCAGTCTGGAAACGGTACAACTTCTCTGAAAACAGTATCTGTGAAAGATCTAAATTACCCCCAAACTGATCATCTGCTGGCTTGTAGTTCAGGTGCTTCTCCACACCCCACCAGTGGAAGGAGCTGCTCAGTTTGCTAAGAGGTGGAGCTGTTTTTGGAGAAACAAGAGAATAAGAGAACAGAACAAAGGCCCGCCCCAGAGGTCTTCTTTTTAGATCAGTAGTGGAGCCAGTCTTCCTGGTCCTTAGGTGGCACTATCAGGCCAGTTCCTACTATACTCTAGTGGTGGAGTGAGGGTGGGGCAGGGTGTTGTTGTGGCCAGTGAAGGGGAAGGTGTTGAAGGCATGAAGAGGCTGCATGCTGGTGATGGTACTGGGGATCATGGTGATGGTATTAGGTGTCATCAGTGGCACATCGTCAGGGGCACGCCGCAGCGCCAGTGTGTAGTCAGGTGGGCAGGCGGGTCGAAGGATGTCATGGGGCCGGAGGGGCTCCATGTCATGGTGAGCATCATGCTCCGAGTGCTTCATCTGCAGTGACATGATCTCCTCTTCCTGGCTGTGAGCCAGGTCGTTGGCAGGCCCACCCCGCTGAGGGGACAGCCGGTGGCGCCGCATCTCATGCCGCTTGTCACGCTTGTAGTAAAGGGCAGCAAAGGCCAGGATGTTGAGGAACAGGAGTGACGCTCCCACAGCGACTGTTACACTCAGTTCAGTGGAGTAGTCCACGGGGTGTCTCCGGGGAAAAGCTACTGGGGTGGACGTTCTGAGCCCTCAAGCTCTGGATCAGAAGTGAGCCAGGTCGTTGGCAGGCCCACCCCGCTGAGGGGACAGCCGGTGGCGCCGCATCTCATGCCGCTTGTCACGCTTGTAGTAAAGGGCAGCAAAGGCCAGGATGTTGAGGAACAGGAGTGACGCTCCCACAGCGACTGTTACACTCAGTTCAGTGGAGTAGTCCCGGGTGTCTGCGGGGAAAAGCTCCTGGGGTGGACGGTCTGAGCCCTCAAGCTCTGGATCAGAGGGAAACGTAGCGTAGGGGGGACGAGTGGTGCGAGGTCCTGGTGTTCTGGGCCAGGGTCTATGGGTGCCTGGGCCAGGGCCTGGTGGCGAGCGGGTTGTGGTGGAGAAGAGCTCCTCATGAAGACTATGAAGATGGGGAACTAATTCCAGCCAGAAGGCCACCTTATTGGCCCTGTAGTTGTCCCTAACACGAGGTTTTAAGCTGATGTGGAGGTACTGTTTGTCCTTCGAGTTGAACTTTGTCCAGATGACCTCTTCGAAGCGGTTAGGCTTGGTGTGAATGAACTTGGTGTCCTGAGGGACTGGCAGGTTGGGGTCCCTAGTGGAGGACAGAGGGGGCATTTCAGTTATAGGTTTCACCTCAAGGTTTGAATCAATGTGATTCAAATATTTATTCATTGATTTGACATCTGGACTCTGAACACACCCTAAGATTCTATTTAATAACTTACAGCAAAGTGAGACAGGGCACTAAACCTTTACTATACTAACATCTGGTTCAAGAGTTCAGCCCAGAAGTGGGAGTAAGTCACATGTGCAAGTCACAAGAAGTTTTAAAGGAAGCAAAACCTTCAGAGAGACACTGTCACATAGAAGAACTACACTGGCTGATTAAACCTGCAGCTCCACAACAGAGCAAAAACAGAATATAAAATATGTTGATATGAAATAAAATCATGAGCAAAGGCCTACCCAGTCTTGGCAAAGTTGGTCCAGTAAGTCATGACCACGGCGCTCAACATCACATCATTCTTCGAGAAATTGCACGGGAACAGGTCTGTGGCACCGATCATGGGCACACCAAACACATACGGTATCTCATCTCCATGGGCGGCGTCGGCCCATTCGGGTCGGGTCTCAGTCTGGCAGTGGTGGTAGAACGTATAAAAGTAAACCGGGGACTGAAACTCTGCGTGGAGTTTGGCGGTGGCCACTGCAGGCGCCACCCACTGGTGGTCCGTAAACAGAGCTAACAGGGTTTTCCTTCGCATGTCACCATTGTCCCTGTCGGCCCAGTCGGTGTACATGAACTTAAATGCACAAAGTACGAAAAGGGACAGGGAAAAGGTAAAGAGGGAAAAAGAGAACTGTGATAAGTTAAGAGGAAAGTAGTGACATGGATAGAACATTTTCAGAGATGAGAAACACAGGGTGGAGGAAGATAGAAGTGCATGTTGCTAAGATAGAATAGATAGATGGAAATAGCAAAAAACGAAAGAGGCATCTGTGTTTGTGTGTGCTGTATGTACAGTGTTTAGGAGACAGAAACGGAAAGGAAGGGCCGAGCCACATAAAGGGCAAAAGTAAGAATATGCCTCTCAGAAAGCAGAATGAATGACAGACACTTGAGCGAAAACATGAATATATTATCCAAATGTGTCTGTGTTTTGACTGCAGCCTGCTGTGTGGGGTTTTCTGGCTGCTCTGTTAGGAACAACAGCAACGTGATTGGTAGCTGGCTGCCTGGGGGATGATGAAAGACAGTATTAGTGCCCACAGAGCCCCAAAGGCCAAAACACAGGCCCACCACAGAGAAAGATAATCTCGATGATAGGCAGCCCGTCTTGATTGATACACTTCACTAGGCTCACAGTTTATCTCATCTCATTTTTGCCCACATAGTGTCTTTAAGACTTGCATTTCCACTGGGAGCTGTAGTTTTGCACAAGTTGTTGATGTGTTCTTTGTTGAAAGCACAGAATAATGTATACTGTGTTTAAAAAAACACAACAAGTAGAACTGTAGTGTGTAATGTGACATCTAGCTCAGGTCTTGGGCAGTAATATTTACTCTTTTGAACATTGATAATAACCTGTTTCCTATTTATATTTTAAGAATTTCTCCTTTGTTGTCATCTGAAAAGAGGCAGATGATAAAATATGGAAGAATTTGAAGCCTGAAAGATGAATACAGTTGGCACTCCTCACCTTCAGGGTATCCGTAGAGGTTGTCAACAAAGTTAGAGATGGTGTAGTCGAATGCTGCTGCTGAGATGCCATCGTTGTCCTCGCTGTCGTCCACAAATTTCAGCCCTTCTCCTTGGTTCACTCCGATTAGGATGTCATAGTTGAGGAACTCCCCCTGGTGGTGCAATGGAGAAGAACATGCTGAGTGCTGAAATTGTTTTCTAAGGGCAGGGTCCTGGTGTATTCATCTGTAAGGTCAAATCAGTGTCATTCATAATTTGGATGTTATATTTAATCAGAGAAATGTAAACTGCAGAGTTTCACTTCTTTGTATTAATATACAGCTTGTGTTGTGGGATGGCCACTCAGAGACAGGAACAAGAAATCTAGCTTTCTGTTTTAATACTACCATGTGTTATGATCAAATACATTTGATCCCAGTGCTGTAGGTTATGGCTTCAGCACTGCACCATCTGCAACCACCAATAGAGATTTTAAAGTCAGTGGCAGGTAATGCACAATAATGCTCAATTAAAGGCTTTGTTATTTGGTTAATTTTTCCCTAAAATGAGCCAGAACCCTTTTGAGTCTCACCTTTAATTAGTTCTTATAGATTATGAATTGCTTTGGGAATCTAACAGAACAGTCTGGTAACCAAATAACAAAAGCGGTATAAGTCACACTTCTTCTATTCCCTAGATTTTTCCCTATTTTCACTCAGTTTATTCTATTTTCATCCCTTATGTGAGAGATATCTATCATTTCTCAGGCCGACTTTCAAATGAAACTTTCTGGCTTTAGCTGCAAGCCATAAGAGGAGATTAACAGAAGTGAAACCAACATGAAGACTGAAAGTTTTTCCAATTAGGCAAAACTGAGTCAACCTTTGGTTATCAAAAGCAGCTGTTCATTTGGACTATGTATAATCTTTTCTTTCTTCTTGTTTAATAGTTTTACCTCTTCAGGCCTGTTAAGATTTTTCCAATGACACTGAGAAAAGAAAATCACTCGTTGTTTGAACTGGTCACAACCCAGACATGAACTCACAGACAGAGGTTTTGGAAACACATTGCTTTGTATTAAAGGACCATAGACAACAAAGGCTGTTAACTGTGGGTATAAAATATACCACCAAGTCAATGTACATTACCACACCACAGCAGGTTTTCTAAAAACACTATATCATAGTGGTTTATGGTGCAAGTCCATACCCACAACAGCTCCAAAGGAGGAAAGGTCACACTCACACCTACTGCAACAACTTCTTTTGTTTTTGTCTGTTGTGTTGTCACATATTAAGCCAGCTGACTTCACAAAAATCCAGTGTGCACCATGTCTGTAGCACCACTTGTGATACTGGTGCCAGACTGTTACCTGCTGCATGAGGATCTCGGGATCGTCAGGCACCACGTCTCCATCCACCACTGGGCCAAAGGCAATGTGGTAGCGGGCTGGCTGGATGTCCTGGTCCACTAGCTCCCTGAAGTTCTTGCGTCTCAGGCAGTCAACCAGGTCGGCCGTCTCTGCGTAGGTGCAGCCCACCTTCCGGGCCAGGATCTTGGTGTACTTGAGGGGCTGGTAGTTGACGGACCAGCTGGAGATGGCCGTTCCACTCTGGGCTATTGCCCTATGGAACAGACCTGAAAGGACAGAAGTAAAATCATTTGTATTACTTAATTTAATCATATAAAAATAAGATATAATGTTGGCGGTCTCAGTTGATGTGCATTTTTCCACAATTTTCTGTGTTTTTACAGGCAGGACAAAGTTCAATGTTGGAACAAGCCAGGATACAGAGAGACTGCTTGAAATGTATATCACTTTCTCTTTGCCTCTTTCCTATATTAAATAAAAAAACACCAGTTGTGATGTTTTTCATCTTTCTCACTGGAGCGAAGCTGGCAGCTTCGGGGTGGGACTACAGACCCATAAACTAGAGGCATGACTGGGAATAGGCTCATCTGAAATCTCAAAAAAGTGGCTTTCCCCTTTCTTGTGCCTGCTGTTTCTTCTCGCTCTCTCTCTTCCTCTTTGCCTTAGTTCTGCTCGTCCTGTACTGTTTGATCCGCTCAAGTGGCTCGTTAAGGGGCTCTCTGCGTTTCCTCTCACACTCCTTTTTTCTTTCTCTTCCCTCTCCTGGGCTTAAGATTGGTCAGTTAATTATTGAGCAGAGCTGCAGAGCACCCTTTCCCTGGGAAATCAATTATAGTATGAAGTAGCTTGGAATCAACTACACCTGCATATTTGCACTAAGAGAGAAGAGAGCGGGAGACAGTAAGAGAAAAGTGGGAAGTAGGTGTTATTTCATTCTACTTCAAAATCAGTTTTTTGTCACTCCCTAAGTGCTTTTTACCTCTGCTACTCAGTGCTCTCCTCTACTTGGCTACTTCTCTTTTCTTGTATGTCAGGTCAGAGCATTTTCTTTCCACTTTCTCCTTTTTTCCTCTCTCATCAAAGGTATTACCTCAGGACATATCCCATTTTCATTCCCTCTGCTCCTTGTTTTTCCTTATACACTGTTCAAAGGACATGATGGTGTTTTCCCTCTTTATCGCTCGGCCTTTCATCATATCAGTATCACCCCACAGCTCCTTCCTCCATGGCATCTGCCACTTCTATCCTGTTATTCATCCTGTACGTCTCCGCTGTTGGGTTTGATTTGTGACTCTGTGTTGCTGACATGACTGGTGTCCCATAAGGGCAAAGATGACAGCCTCCTTACCTTGCATCGCTGGCAGGGGAGAGGGGAGAGCATGACAGACGGCATCTAGTGGGCTGATGTTACACTGTTAGATGCTGATGAAGATAAGGACAATGATGACGATGGGCTGATGACAAAGTGGAAGCATGAGCATGGACAGGTCGGCGACAGGAGACAAGGGGTTAATGCAGGCTTTCCACAACCATTCCATTCCTCAACTGCTAAAGTGGGGACCCCCTGAAAAATTAATGATTACACTAAAATGACTGTCACCAGTTCTGCTTGCCATCTAAAAATAAACAAACAAAAACATAAGCTGAATGTCTGGTCATGGTCACACCTCTTCACAGACGTTTTGAGAGTTAGATGATATGATCGACACCACTTTTATGTCTGCATGTTAATTATGGAGCTGGGATGTAATTAGCCTAGCTTAGCATAAAGACTGGAAGCAGAGGAAAACTACTTGCTAAGTTAGAAAATACAACTACACTTTACAAATATGCAGCTCACTAATTAACACATATCTTAATTGTTTGTTCATTACACAAAAAGAAATGGAAACAAACAGCTGTGTTTTGAAGAGGAGTCATGCACTGTAGATATTTCTCTGAGAAACAGCCACATATAGTGACTTCCCACATTGCAGATGTACTGTATGTAGAAATACAGAGCAGATGTTGTTTGCCAAGAAATACCTAGAGCATGTAGAAGTGTTAGTTTTATAAATGTAGCGAGTATATTATGTTTATATATATTTTACTTTGGAAAAAGCCAGGCTAGTTCTTTACCTCTGCTTCCAGTCTTTATGATAAGCTAGGCATAACACCTTGACTTCAGCTCTGTAATAGCACACAGGTGAATGTAACCAAGCTTTTTTCTCCCAAATATTAAAGTATTCCTTTAAGCACTGCTTCACTAGAGATCCTAATAGTTTTTAGACCCTGGTTAACTGTGCTTAATAGGCTGCACTGTCAATCCTGTCTTTAACTCCTATGTACAATCCATTAAAAACTCTTCAAACATTCAGCATACTTCGTACTTGCACATTATACAAGTCATAAGCATTTAATGACCACATGATTTCCCTGTAGGGACTAATCTATCTATCAAAATATATTATAATTTTGGTCTTGGGAGGTTTCTAACTGTTAAGTGGTACCTGCCAATAAGAGAGAAATGGGTTAATATGAAGGGTTAAGAGACAGTATAATTATAGAGCTCTGGGGTTAAATGGACACAGTGACACAATAGCAGTGCACAGATGCTCACTCAAGCTTTGACAACACACATTTGACAGACAGTGAAAATGAGAGACGTGTCAGATGATGGCTTGGTGCTTTAGACACATGCACACAGAGAGCAGTGATTAAGACAGATGTGTACTTGTGTGAACATGTTCTCTCTAATCTCTAACTTTCTTTCCACCCACTATTACTTTCCTGTTTCTGTCCTTTGCAGTATGTGTGTGTGTGAGACAGCAAATGGATTTTGAGGGAGTGAGTTCGAACGGCACAGAGAACAGAGATGTTACGATTGAAGGAGGACGGCTTCAAGAACAGCATGATCAAAGGCGGCGGGTGTGCGGCCATTTGGCTGCGCGTCGTCAGCTGCGCTAATCTCAATTCACATCAAAGTTGATTGGTGTGTAGGTCTCCCGCTTTAGGTGGTTCAATGTTAACACTTAGCCCTCAGGGTATGTTGTTGGTAATGGGAGGCATGAGGTCAGATGGATGTAGGTTTTAAAGGAGGCAAAGCTTCTCTGCTGCAGAGCAGTGGACTGTTAACAGTCCCAGGAACGCTTGCTAAATCGGGTAATTTGGGGTCATGTTGGAGCTCTCATGTCATTTATCACAGATATGCATGGCATAACCTGAATCAAACGTGGACTCGCTCATTAGCCATATTCTTCAGTTCAAAAGAGAAGCAAAGCTTTCCAGTAGGGTAAAAGCATCAAGTGAAAATCACAGGACTGGGCTGGATGCTGCTACAGTAGCTCAGTTTCTGACTACATGGGTATAGCAGGACATCAATGCTATGATTTAATTTTAGATCAGGTAAAACACTGGTCATTGTATAGCTAAACAACACATACATCCAAAAAATATAGGAGGTACTACACTGAGGATAAGACTGGGGATAACAGATAAATACATGACAAATATATGAACATTCATGTTTGCTGAAGGTTGTATTGGACGTGCAAGGGTGGGCTGCTTTGTGCTTCCAGCAAATGTATAGAACAAATACACTGTGATGGTGTGTAAGCGTGCATTGTGGCTATTCAGGGATTAGCAAGGCTTAATCTAAACTTGGGTTTGGAAAATTGCTGGATCAGGTGGAATTCATCTAAGTAGCCACAATCCATTAGTCAGGAGATTTGTGCTTAATGAGTGACTCACAGGGCTGGATCCAGGCTATTAGCAGTCACTACAATTCATGAAATTCTAAGAAACCCATGGCCACTGGCCAACATTGTGCATGGGACTCTGTCTGTGTTTATGTATCTACTGGAAGAAACACAAAAAGAAAAAAGAAAGTGAATAGTAAGGTGACAGATGAAGAAAACTGGCTGCTGTACCAAGAAAAGAACAAATAATACAGTGTGACAGAGTCTTCACTTACCCTCGGAGTGGTGTGAAAGTATGAGGAGATTCACGCAGGATGCCCCAGCTCCAGAGCCGAAGATGGTGATCCTCTCTGGGTCTCCGCCAAAGTGGCCAATGTTCTCATTGAGCCAACGCAGGGCCTGAATCTGGTCTAGCAGGCCATAGTTTCCCTTAGCAGACTGATCACCGGTGCTGAGGAAGCCTAGATTTTTGCAGTAGCAAAGATAAATGCAGGAGGAAGGAGAGAGGGGATAGGAGAGGGATAAGGACAGGTGGAAAAAGAACAAAGGAGGATATGGAGGAAGAGAGGAGGCACAGATGGGAGGAGAATAAAAAGATAAAGCAGAGCCAAGATGGCATTAGTATGTGAACCTTCAGTATTTAGTGGAAAATGTTTCCTACTTTGACCTGTAAATCAGTTTCTGACAAAGAAAGAACTGCATGACTGCAGAGAACGAGGGTGTATGTGATAAAATGTGTGCACGTGTCCGCAACACCGTCATTTATCAACAAGGAGTGACAGACAGTACACAGAGAAAGCAAAGGGAATGAGTGGAGAAATGACTTTTCTAAGCTCCGCTCCTAATAACGTCCACTTTGTCCAACATGACTGAGCAAGGACTTTTACAGAAAGCCACTTACAGTACAGCAGCCTGTAGCCCACTCCAGGAAATCTGACAATTTGCTTCACGTTAACAAAGACTGAAGGCAACAGCAAATTGATTCCACTAAAATAGCTGCATGTGTATGAAGCGTCTTCCCCTGTGGAATAGAGTTCCATTGATGGTATTTTAAAAACAAATCAGAGAAAAGTTTCTTTGCTACTATGAACATGGGCACTGTAGTACATTTAGATTCCATCCCACATACACCTTCCTTGCTAAAAACTACCATGCCCAGCTGTTCTAGGACATTTCTGATCCTATTGTCAGAGTGGTACACTCATAACGTGGTTTCTGTGGGTGTTCATGTAAGGATGCACATTGGTGTGCACATGATGTCCATAGTTCAAGTTCAGCTGCAGACCTTTGTTGCAGATCTCCCCCTTTCTCTTTCACCCCACTTTCCTGTCTGCCAAAAATGCTGTGATATTGAATAAAGCCCAAAAGGTTTATTCATCAGAGCAATGTAATACTAGGCCCCTGCTTCCTCTTATTAGCTGGCATTTGCCTCTCATGATGTATGTTCACTTTGTTCCATCAAAGACCTAAATCTTTTCTGTTTACGTACCCACCAACTGGCAGGCTTTCAGATCCTAGTGCAACTCCTAATTAGAGCTTCATTAAAGACATGTGCACTGGAAAGGTCATGAATAAAGCCTATACAGTAAAGGTTAAACATAGCTGCTAGGATTCTGTGGAACACATACATACAACATTTCCAAATGTTCTCAATTCACTATCCATCTATTACTTTGCTCAGTACAAATAACATTGTAAAATAGGTTTATGGAAGGTAGGTAGCTGTGGGCTGTCAGTAAGAACAGTTAGGTATTTTGTTTTCTTTTTAGACATTTACTCAGGATCCAGGCACTAACTTGGTATATATAGTGGGTTAAGGACATGAGCTTTGAGTCTATATGTGGTCTAGAAAGGACACAAATACAGTAAAGTAAGTAGTTTATATAACAACTAATAATACTAGCAGAAACTCCACATATTAGAGTACAAAGGAATACTAAAATATATATATGAAGAAATAAACTGCAGTGACAGGTGCTAGTCTGGCCAGTCCTCTCCTGTGGATAAGGCGCCACCTTGTGGCAGAGACACAGCAGAGGACCTGCACTCTGAATGTTACAGAAATACTGTGGAACAAAAGTGCTTTAAAATGGAAAACAATACAATACAAAAAAGGCTCATGCACACAGTGATAGCATGAATGTGTACAGGGTATAACTGTTTTTTTCCCTGCACTGGGAGTGATGGTGGCTCATAGCTGGCCCATAAAAGTAAAGAACTATGACTGGATTTTGTGCATACACATTTATACTGTATTTGCAGTCACATGTGACCAAAAATGATGGCCACTGTTGACCTATAATATGCAACACGTTTGTTAAGAGCTTATACTGAAGCTCACAGTAACTAATCATTTCTAACAACCAAAATCAATTAAAATGTATCATCTCAATGATCCATTAAAACAAATACGATTGAAGCACATATCACTGAGCACATCATGCAATCGCTGGCTTTTGTGCTGCCCTTTAAAAACCACAAATCCACACAAATAAGCTCCATGTCTGGATGCATTAATTAGCCAAAGCAAAAACAGGAGGCAAATAAGCTGCCTAATGCCCTGCTGTAATCACCTTGCTATATTAAACATAACCAGTTATGCTAGGGAGGTCATTTATTAAGCTAATTAAAGCAAATCATAGCAATACATCTATGTCGGCATAGCTTCCTGCATAAAATATAAAAATTTGGTTTTCATTATTATTTCCATGAAATATATGAAGCAAGATTATCTGTTGCTTTGTTCTTTAGTGTGTCCACTGCTGGTGGAACTTCAAAATACTGAAGCAAATGAACCAGCAGATCCAAACATTATCTTGTTACAGCCAAAGCCATTGTCTTCTGTGCACCGTCACACTGCGCCCATCTAAGTGTGAGTCAGTGTACAACAGCCAGCCACTTCTCGTGTCCTCCCCTTCCTGTATAATCTGATAAAAAAGCTTGAAAACACAAAGGAGCCGGGTAAAATGCCGCAATGCAAGATGAAAGCAGAGCTCTGCATGAATAGCCTTTAAAATGGCTGTGGTTAGGAATGGTAGTTAGAGGGGGGCAACGGGGACCGAGTCAGAGAGCGAAAGGGAGAGTAAAGGAGAAGGAGAGGGGGATAGTGGGTGTTCTGTGAGTCCCGGATAGAGGCACAGTGTTTCATCTGCCTCCAAGACACCAGGGACTGACTCTCGCACACACACACACACACACTGATCAAAGGCTGACACTACAGAGAAGACTGTCTCCTTTTCTCTCCATCTACCTCTCTTTTCCACACACACACACACACACACACACACACACACACGCACACACAGATGTGCACAGCATGTATACATGTGAGCACACAAAGACAGAGGAATAATGCAAACATACACTTCCACGTGTAAACAGGACACACATGCACAGACCATTTTTCTGTGTACTTTGAAAAAAAAACCACAAAAACACATTTGTGTATCTATTGTGCAGCGACAATGAAGCAGTGAAGACTCCTTTGTGTGGCATCAAATAGCCATAAGATTGTCCTTATAGAACCAATATGCTACATTTGGTGTGTCTCTGCAACTATACTTGTCATTATGATTTGTGTGTGAGCAGTCAGGCTGCTGGATGATAGATGGTGCTCTAACACACTCTATCCCATGTGAGTGCATTGTGAGAGGCTTTCCGTGTGTGTGTGTGTGTGTGTTATTGGCTGCATCGTAACTGTGGTCCATCAGAGGAGTGTGTGCATCGTTCAGCGAAATGAACAGGTGTGGGCTGCTCGAAGCATCTGAATAATGTACAGGACGCACACGTTTTCAACATGACACACACACTCGTCTGACTGTGTCTGCTTCTTTCAAAGGCGATGAAAGCCAGCTGCCTGTTAGACAGACTGCACACTTCCAAACGGTGTCTAAACGCATTATTACTATTTAAACAGTGTCGAAGCCGGACTGCGCGATCTTGCTGCCACGCTAAACGGTTTGCAATTTCCACAGGGTTATGCTGAATGATGCAAGGGAGGGGAAGAACGACTCTGAAGTAGGAGAAAAGGGAAAAGGAGACACATTACCCTTTTCTTCAGCATGCTTCAGTCCCCCACCCCACAAACCCAACTCCGGATTAGACGCAGCGACTGGCCTTGGGTGATTCTCTCCACTCCTCCCTCTCTCGTTCTCTTTGTGCTTTTTCACTCTTTAAAGTTGTTATTACTGCTGCCTGGCTATGCGGCCCTAATTATTTGTGAAATTATTTACACTTTGTCCTCATACTGGGCACTCTTTTTGAAAACTGCCATTTTCAAATGTGAACAATCAGATGAATGAAAGTCCCGTTTCACAGGGCCGGCCCGTGGCATAGGCAGTATAGGCAAATGCTGAGGGCGCCGTACATCCAGGGGGCGCCAGAAATGGAGGAAGAAAAAAAGTGTAACTTCCACTATTCTTAAAACTAGACTTCAGAAAAGAATAAGCCCACCACATTAATTTAACTGCATAGCAGCAAAGCCTACTAAGTAGTAGTAGTAGTAGTA